TGTGTGTGTGTGTGTGTGTGTGTGTGTGTGTTAAAGGAGGAGGATTTGATACTATTATTGTCTTACTCTTCCACTATCATTTTTTCTAAGTTTTTGTCTTTGCTTTAAAAAAATACTTTTAATCTAATTCTTACTGATTGCAATTTATCGTTGCCGTCTTTTTTTGTTGTTGGTTTAGTTGGGTTTTTTAAATTTCATCTTTTTCCTTGTGTTATTGGGGGAGGGGCGGTTGATGTTTTTTGTTGTTGTTGTTGTTGTTTTTGAGGTTTATCCCTTCTTGTTTTTGGAGGAGTTTAACGGCGCTCGCAACTGCATAAGGTCATATGAGCGCCCTTTTTTTCTTCTTCTTTGTTGTTATTTGGATGTGGTTTGTTGGTGTCTTTTTAAATTTATTTTTAGATGAGGAGGGGGGAGGGGGGAAGGGAGTGGGGGCTGGGGGTATTTGTTTTTCTTTGTAAATTCAGTTCTTGTCTTCATCTTAATCTTTCACAGAATGAAATATTGGTCTCAAGCTTCGCCTTAATCGTGTACCACAACTCAGACATAAAATTAATGTCCTCATATTATTTTTTTATGGTCGTCACTTCAAACAGGAGCAGACAGGAAAATGGACATTTAATTTAGGGAATACTCTGCTATATCGTTCAGACGAATAAATGCGATCGTCAGTTATTGCTAATTTCCTATTTTATTATTCCCTCGCCGAAGACTCCGTGGAGTCTTCGTCATATTAAGAGAGGCAGGTCGTGAGAGCTTATCGAAACAGCAATGGACTGAAATCGTATCGAAGCGGAAACATAGATACTGATAAAATAATATTGCATAAGAATACAACTAGGCGGTGGGCCATTGGTTATGGATTCAGTTGAAATGATGTTGAAGTTGAGAGTTTGGATCCTATCCCGGGTGTGGTCATAATATAGGCCTAAAAATATTTTCACTAAAGACTTTCTTTAATTTGAATTTAGTAAAAGTTTTACGGCACTTGGAAAACAATAAGGTCATAAAGTGTTACAACAGTGACATGCTACGCAAAATAGAAGGAGTACAGATCAGTGCGACAGATGTTTGACAGGAAGGGAGCTAACCACTCAGACCACCCACCAACCACTCGCTATTATAGACTGAGAATGCTAATAGATGTATTAAATTCGGTGTGTTGGAAAGTAAGGGTTCGAAATTCGAATCATTTTGGTGGCAGGTGTGGCCATGTTGCAGATGCAGACTGGGAATGTCGGGTAACAATATCGGTGCGCCGGAAAGTTGAGGTCCTGAGTTCAAAACCTAATACTGCGTGGTTAACCAGACCATAAACATTAATACGATACAGGTTGAAGGTTTTGCACAGCAATATTTACGTCGCATATAGCAAAGATATGGATGGTTAAGGTTCGAGTCCAAGAACACTTGAAACGTCAGGAATACGTGTAATTATGGGTATGGTATGGGTTTAACTCTTCAAATTACAGACTTACAACACTGTCGTGGACATTGCAAAAGAAACTTCCGAACTTAACGTCCATCACCGATAGCACATTACCGATCAAAGTGTGCCGAAAGCCTTGACACCCCCCCCCCTCCCCCAACCCACTCTTCTAATTCCATGTCTCTCCCCGAAAAATATGATTAAATAAAAAAGACAATTACAATTTTTTTTTAAAATCAATCAAAACAAAATTCAAACAAATAACACACACATACATTCACACAAAAACACACACACACACACACACACACACACACACACACACACACATACACACACACATACACACACATACACTCACACGCGCGCGCCCACACACTTTAAGCACAAACTCACAATAGAAAACATTTTTGAGGATTCGAACCTGGGTCATCCATACCATAGATCTAGCCCATGATAATATTACACCAAACTTAGCGATACGCCCCTATCAGTGATGAGTCAGTCTTGTGTGCAGTTGACAATGTTAGAGGTGAAAGTTCGGAAGTCCGAAGTTTGAATCAACTAAAGGTCTCAAGCGTGAAACTATTTTGAAGATCAAGTTTTTCATTTATACAGGAACAACGATTGAGGTTTAGTTTGTTCTGGGGTTGATCGACGTGGGGAAAACAACGAAGCCATTTAGAATAATCCATTATAGATACCCACTGAAAATTGTGTGCAATCATATGTAGACAAAAGTACACGTTTAATTCAGTCGCCGCAGAAAAAAATGTGAGTGTGTGAACAGATTTTAAGCCCCCTATCTAAATATTAGGTTATTTAAGAGGCTGAACCTCCGAGTTTAGCTTTCGTCTCCGATAAGACCGAGCCAGATTGGTTCGGACCTTAAATAACTCATCAAAACGAAATTAAGAACGCCCTGTCTGGGATTCGAACCATGAACATCCGCCCCGTAGTCAAGCATGATACCAACTGAGTTATTGGGGCACCATAGTTATTGTGCGTCAAGGATACACACGGTTGAAGTGCTCCAATGATACTAAAATAGACTACCAATTAGGTAGCTACAGTGCTTTTTAACGACAGCAATGTTTTGCTATAAAGAATATTAGTACAAGATATAAATCAGTAT